CCACAGAGAAGTTTTGGGACAACGCTGGCTCTTTGGCTTAGAAATGGAGATGGGCACCGCCCCCTAGAGTCGGGAACGACTAGCTCATATGTGTGTGGGGAACCTTTACCTTTGATGTTTTTGCTATTAGTAGTGCATCTCAAAATTTTGTAGCCCCCCCCCCCCCTCATTAATGACCTTGGGGTTTTTTTGCTTTCTCACAGGGTGCATTATTAGTCCATGCATATAATTTTCAGTTATTTGTGGCATATAGTTGTTTTAAAAGATGGGGAGTGGATATATGATTGAATGTTCCTTACATATATCATTAAAATATGGGGTGGGAGGTGGGAAATAGGAAGACGACTGGCCTTCTTTTTTTTTAGACTTGCTGCTTTTCTATACCAAGAAAATAGTTGGTGCTAACCATATTTTAACAATATGATCAGACACTATATACATTCTGCCTTTTGATGCAGATTCTTTTTTATGTGCAACTGTACCTCGTTAGTTTCCTCCTGCTAACTGGTGTCATAATGCAGTACTAAAATAATCAGATAGAGGGCTTCATAGGACAAGAGAAATCATATTTTGGATATTCTGCTGTTCACGTTACATGTAGATTTTCCTCCAGATCTAGTGTATGTATGGAAGCTACTGTTTGCAATAGTCAGTCATCTATTCTCCAAAACAGATTTTTTTTTTTAGCCTGAATTTGACTGAACTCAAGTAATGGCAGGGCCCCACCTAAATCCATGACTTTTCCACCCACTGTACTTTTTCTTAGGACAGAACCATTCCTCTTTCTTTCAGCCGTCAAAAAATTGCCATGCAGGTATTTACAGCAGTATGAAAAAGTGGGAAATTTGTAAATTAGAATAAATAATCAGTTCATTTGATTGAGGAGAACAAAGCGTTACGGGGGTGAGGGTGAGCTTTTAAAGTTAAGCTTTATAGGAGTGATTGATAGAATAGGTAGGTGGAAAAATTATTTGACATTAAACTTTAAAGCCTGCACTACAGAATATGAAAGTGTGGAATTTAACCAAAGGTCTTAGGATAAAGTGAGGCGATTTGTGATCTCAGATAGATTCCTTAATGTTATTCAGTGATGCCTCAGCATGAGGAGGCATTGGCAGCCCAGCATTGCAGTGCTTAGAAAATGTCACTTAAAATTTCTTCTAAACTTGCTGAAAGGCATAAAGGGAAAAAAACATGTGTTTGTGTTCTGTGCAACTGAAATTAAATATAGGTAGTCCTCAACTTGCAACCATTCATTTAGTGACCATTCAAAGGTATAACGCCACTGGAAAAAAGTGACATGACTATTTTTTCACACTTACAACCGTTGAAGCATCCCCATGGTCATGTGATCAAAATTCAGATGCTTGGCAACTGACTCATAATTAACCAAAGGTCTGTGTCCTGGTATGGTATGATTCCCCCCCCCCCAGCCGCCCTTAGCGACCTTCTGACCAGCAAAGTCAATTGGGAAGCCAGATTCACTTAACAACGGTGTGGCTAACTTAACCACTGCAGAGATTCATTTAGTACCTGGAAAGGTCATCGAAGGGGACAAAGTTCATTTAACAACTGTCTCGCTTAGCAACAAAAAATTAGGCTCCATTGTGGACTACCCACACTGCTCATATTTCCATGTAAACAGGTTGGAGAGAATGCTAGTTTCCAGCTNACCTTGCTGATCGACAAGCTCAGTATCTTAAGCCATTGAGCCACCATGTCCCTTCTATCCTGGCTAGCTCACCCCAATTCAGCCAGGTTCTCCAGCTTGGGGTGAAGCGCTGGAATGTCCAACTCTCCATCTCAGCTGCCATGTTTCAATCCCAGCGACCATCAGATAAAAACAGGGTGACCTGGGCAGACACCCTCCCCCCAACCTGGAGAGAGGAGGTTGGGGCAGGGTGCTGGACTAGAAGACCTCCAACTTCCCTTCCATGGGATTCTATCCTTGCTCCTGTTAGTTGCACACCATTGGGGAGGGGGGTTGTCTTTGATGCCTTGGGCTCCCCAAGTTGGGTTGGATGCCACTCCCTTGATCAGGGAGCAACTTCCCTTCCTTTCCCTGGTGCAGGTGGTGGGATCAAGGGGAGTTTCAGAGACACCCCCTCCCCCAGGGCACGGCAGCGTCTGGGATGGGGGGGGTCACCCCCTCCCATAGCTGCTGTGGCTCCCTCGTTCTCCCCCCCTCCTGTTGATCTGGGGGCGGGGCCCACTAAGTCCCTCCCTCCCCGCCGGCCGTTACCTGTCTGTCTTTCCGTCTCTCTCTTTTCGCTTCAGGGCCCGGCCCGGCCCAGCCGTGGAGCCCCCCGGGCGCTTCCCTTCCCGGCTGCCGGGAAAACAAGGGGAAGTTGAGGGGGGAAAGGGGGCTGCCCGGTGCGTCGGGCAGAGCAAAGCGCCGAAGGAAGGCAGCCAGGAAGGGAGCCACTTTGCCCTGACTGACTGGACTGACTGATGGAGTAGGAGCCACCTCCGCTCCTCACTCCGGGGTCACCGGGCCTGGGCTGACCCCGGCAATCAGCCAATGAGCGGGCGTGCTGGCCACAAGGCCGCCGCCCACAGCCGCTCCTCATTGGACACCGCGGCAGAGAGGGCGGGAGGAAGGGAGTGGAAAGGCCCCGCCTTCTCTCCGCCTCCCTCCTGGCGTTTCCTCCTCCTCCTCTTCTTGTTCTTGGCGTCTCTCTTAAAGTGATAAGAGTCCTCCGCGCCCCTCTCTCAACTACACACACACTTCCGGCCCCGTCTGGACAACTTTTGCTTCTCTTTGGGCTCTCCGGAGAGGGGGAGGGGGGGGGAAGAGAAAGGAGCCTTGACCATAGAGTCGCGAATGAGCAGAACGGCCCCGATCCACTTCCTCCTCCTCCTCTTTCCCCCCTCCCCGCACGAACGCACGCAACACACCTCTGCCACTGCCCGAGAAGAAGGCTTTCCTTGCCTCCTGCCGGAAGTTGTAAAGCTTCACCTCTATGGTCCCACCGGAAGTAGCGATAGCCGGGCAGGGAGACACTGGCTGATAACGGCTGTCAAGGGGAGGGGGAGGGGTGATGGGGGCGTGTAGGAAGGCTTGATCCGCCTCAGAGAAACGCTGCCGTCTGATCGGAAAGCCGAGAAGATTGAGGGTGGGTTGGGGGGGAAGGGTTTGTTGCATATGAGTGTGGTGAGGGGAGGGTTCTTGCTCCAATGTAAGGATGGGTGTTGGAGGTGGGTTGGACACTATTATCACCATTGTAAGCTTTTATTCATTAAATAAGATGCATAAACAGGGATAGAATCAAGTCTTGTTGTCATCCTATTGCACCATTGAGGCTAAAACCGATTTCGTTGTCTTTATTTTGTACAATGACAATAAAGGCTGTACTATACTAACATCACATGAAGTGTTAATGCCAATTTATAAGGCCTTGGTAAGGCCACACTTGAAATCCTGCATCCAGTTTTGGTCGCCATGATGTCAAAAAGATGTGGAGATTCTAGAAAGAGTGCAGAGAAGAGCAACAAAGATTATTGGGGGATTGGAGGCTAAAACATAGGAAGAACGGTTGCAGGAACTGAGTATGTCTAGTTTAATGAAAAGAAG